GTTCATCAGCCTCCTCGGTAACAGACTCTACAACTGTATTACATTTACCAAACCAGTTAAATAAATATAGAAATCATACCCCTGCCTGCTGAAAATAGGTCAGAAAGTACCATTCGGGGCCTGCCATTAAACGAATCGCCTTTCGTTATGAATGCCTCTTTAATAGCTTCGTAGCTGAGTAAGACCACCACGTTACGACTTCCCATTTGCAGCATGAACACGTCTCCGTACTTGGTTCCCAAGTCCGTCATACTCTTGTACGGAGCTTCCTTGTCCAGGAATGGAATGTATCCGACAACTGGAAACCCAATTGGTCCCGGCGGTAATGGGTTCTTCCCTGACCTCTTGTGTGTGCGTTTGTGAAAAACGAACGCCAAGAGACACACCATAGCGGTGACAATTATCTGCGTAGCTGTTAACATTGACAAATCCATGATCCCGTTCACGATGTTTCCAGCGTTGAATGTTGCGTAGCAGCACAACGGCCGATGGTCCCGTCTCAAGAAATTCCTTTAAAGATTTATAGAGTAACTTGTGTTATGAATTCGCACGATCACGTGTTCGAAACTGAACTCTGTGACCGTAAACCAAGGAAGCAAATAGCAGGTACCCAGTGAGTTTTAGGGTCGCTCCAAAATCAAAATAAGAGATTTGTTTTCATATTTTAAAGTAACGAGTATAAAGTCGTTTTCAACTGATGAATTTAAAACATTAAAATATTTGACAATCTGTTTCATATGTTATTCCAGTTTGAAATGTATTTTTTTAGATAATTAGGGAAATTCAAAGAATTGTGTTGTGTGACAACGAGTCACTCCGGTTTGTATCAGGTATGAGAGCTTATTTGACGCGTATAATTGCTGCATACGGATGAGAAAAAATTGTCACAATTTCGTAGTAAATTAATAAGGAATGCACACGAAGAAAGAATTCGATATTAAATAAACGATAACAGAACGATTGTTGAAAAATTGTGATAAATTGAGACTGTCCCTATGGCCACACGATAGCTATTGACCCATGAAAGTTTCTTTTCACACACACACACAATACCGTCAGTAGATTATTTTGGGAATGACCGTGAAGCAAAATATGACTCTCCATTATTAGGTTTTCAAAAATTGTTAAATTGAATCGGACTGAAAAACGATTGCATGTGGTCCAGAAAACCGTGCTCTATTGCACATCTGTCAAATCGACTCCAAAGATTGTTGTCGAAAGGGTAATGAACACTACGACCTTGTACGACCTTGGCAGACACCAACAAATACATTGATTGAGGGAGGAGTATAGAAGCAGGCATTGATGGCGTTCGGGCGAGAATAGCTAAGGCAGTGTACATGTTTCCGGTGATTTGTATTTCGTCGTTAAATTCATTTGTGATGTGTTATTAATACGTTATTTCGTATTTCCGCGTAGCGCGTTATTGCACAACCTGAATTACAGGTGATGCGTTATTAAGCAGTTCAATTCCACGTTATTCGTTATTTGTACTCATTCCCAAGATTCCAAATTATCACGAAAAAACGTCATTAACAACGCCACCAGCGATCACTTGCATGAAAGTGGCAGTGAATGTGAGTCAATAATCGCTGCAAGACTGAGACGAACTGTCCCATTGGCCCGTTTCCTTGAGTGGAACATTCTAAGCCAATGAAATTCGTCATTATTATATTGTCGATTATCCGAAATAATAAATATATATAATTACTAATGTAACAAAGGCAAACAAAAAATATTTGGTATTATTATATACATGCAAGTAGTAAAATAGCTGATAGCGTGGGCAGAATTTGGAGCTAACATAATCATCCCATATTGTTATTCTTTTCAAAGAATGTATTACTCATCATAGCATGTTTAATTTCTTGTTACATGAAGTTGATTTTTTCATTAAACAAGTTTATTTTCACAAACCGGTATGCTGATTAGCGACCCGCTCTGTTAAAAGAAATATTTTGTCGGGTGTTGAAATGACAACAGTAGGTCAGAACTACAGGTGTAACGTGCCTGTAAAGTTTGGCCCAGCTCCCCTCAAATCAGAGAAAAGTTAATATGCCGTTCCCGGCGAAAAGCTCCCCCGACTTCGAGGTTAAATTTCTCAGCAATGCAAAAAGATATGAAAAATAGTAATTCTGAGCTACACTAACACTGCATGAGAATGAGATATGTCCGTAGTTTCTACTCCAAGATTTGTAGGAACGTATTCAAAAATCATTTTCATTGCTGTTGCCATGGTAACGGTGAGCCAGGAGTTTTTTTTTTACAGAATGACCACATAACATACACAAATGATAGCGGAGCGAATCGCAAGAAACGAGATTTTGAACACGCATACCTTTCCTGCTGCTAGATGAAACTGACATTTAGGATACAAATTAATATAGGAGTGGGAAACACTGAATTATCAGTCGCGTTAGCCAGGCCATTTGATTTGACGTCAGAGCTTTTTAGCTGAAAGAATTGTGCGGAATTGCTGTATATTTCAAAATTGACTTCTGTAAGTTTGGAGTTAATAAATAACAAACAATCGACACGTATTACAAGTTGGCTCGTATCTCTCTCGTGATGAAGAGTAGAGCACCAATCAAATGCGAACACCTGTGATTTATTTTGCATAACAGATCCATTTAAATGTATGCGTAAACTACAAATAAAGCCAATCGCGCACACGAGGAAACTACAGGCAGAAATTGGAAGATGGATGAATAGTATAAGGCGGGTACACTCTTCCAGAATCTGTTCACATATTAGCTGCCAGTTGATGACAATATTTTCTTTTATGTTGAAGATTTTTTTGCTGATTTATTATAGCATGAAATTCCAAGTTTAGTAAAAACACTGTGGTTAACAGACTACGTATATATGTAACTGTATTGCGAGTATACTGAATGCGTGTTTATTAGTATGTTGATTAAACATAATGAACTTCTGGTGACTGGTTTCATTTAATTTAGTGTCATTGGGCTTCTTCGAATTGTGGTGATTGGTGATTGGCTAGTTTGAACTCTTGTTGATTGCTGATTGGACTCTTCAATTGTGGTGGTAGGTGATTGGCTACATTCAATTCTTGGTGACAGGTGATTGGCTAGTTTCAATTATTGATAATTGCTGACCAGGCTCTTCAAATTGTGGTGACAGTTGATTGCCTAGTTTCAATTCTCGGTGATTGCTGATTGGGCTATTCAAATTGTGGTAATAGTTGATTGGCTAGTTTTAACTCTTGGTGATTGAGGATTGGGCTTTTCACGCTGTGGTGATTGAGAGGGAGTTTAAATTGCCTTGTGTTTAGTGGTTCTCAATTCAAACAGTCTTCTTGCTTTTCTCTAAAATTTCTACTCGGTGTTCATTTCAACAACGAACCATGAACGCTTAAGTCAATTGAGAACATTTGCGTGTGTCCCCAAATAACATGGAGAGAGCTGTTCATTCGTGGACGGTGTTTTGGAACGGGGCGTCCCTCTATAATTAAACTAATAAGTTCGTTCTCGTATTTTTTCAAACATTATGATCTCGCTTAATATACAATAAATGTCAAACTGCAATAATTGCAGTGTTTGTGCAAGTAGCGTTCTTTAAATGATCAAAAATATATTGCCCGGACACTCGTAGAAAGGTTATCACGATAAGGCGTGCGAATCTGTCTTGACATCCCGTAAAATTTACAGTCGGCCTCAAGCACTCGTGTGATCCAAGAATGCGGGGTTATTCAACAGGTTGTTGTTTACAAGCTACGACCCTAATACTACTGTGAGTCGATGCACTATGTTAATGTTATATGTACACAATGAACTTCTGACATGATCATGACCTTACAAAACCTTGAACTTTGTTATGTGTCGTTCAGCCGCCCGTGGCTTTCAATGCCCGGGTGGCATTGCAGCCATGTTAATGAGAACATGCAATACAGCGATGTTTTATCTGTGTAGTTCAACGTAAGTAATAACATGCTATGTCCATCCAGTATTTATATAAACATCCCAAATGGGCGAGCTAGACAAAAAATATGAATAAATACTGCAGTAAAAACACTCACTTCTCTGTAATATCGGAAAAATAAACCCATTCCTTCATAATGCATTTTTATAGCAGCTGAATCCAACCAACCAATCAGCGAGCATATCGCCATTTGAAAACGTTTAAATTTATTCAATCGGCCAATAGAATCCTCTCTAATCGAGTTTGAAATTTATGATGAAGGAAACGAGTTCGTTGTGACGATAGTGAACATAACAGTTATCACTTGAAATCAGTCTCATTCAACTCCGAATGATACACACCTTATTTCTTTACGAGAAGTACTCTTGCTTGAATTGGAACGTCCTAAAACGCCCATATATAACAGTAAATGCCACTGCATGGGCTCGTACAATGTGTAGCTGTCGTTTAGGTTTATAATTAATTTAAAACAGATATGCCTTTACTGACGTCAGTGTTAACAGTTATCTTTAAAATGTTGTCTATTACATGACAAGTGCTCCCGTGGCAATGTTGATCACGCATGTGTTTAACTACATAATATACTTTAGATGATCAATGATATATCGGGACTAGTGGAAAGGTTATCGCGACTGGGCGAGCAATCCCTACTTGTTACATTCCAATCGGGCTCAAGAACTCGTGTCAAGCAAGGTTGCTATTTGTTTACAAACAACCGTTCATTTAAAACGGTGAATTGATGTATTGTGTTAAAACCAAGTCGTCGTGACATGAACCTGAATTGTGAGGCCGTGAACTTGCCAATGTACTACGTGCGCATGGCTCCCTGCTTTACCTACTAGTATGTGTACAGGTAGCTCATACATGTCAGTACGGCTATGCTTGCAATATTTGTTTTAGAATATGTAATAACTTTCACATCCGGTTGCAATATATGACACAATGATTTTACCACGCTCGAAAATACCCACCTTGCCTCTTTTAAGCGGCAACAGTACGGCAACCGAGGTGGCTTACAACATGGCATTTTATAAAACCATTTTTACAATTTATTTACATTTTGAGAACGAATTTTTACTTGTTAATCCTTTTTTAAACACCATTTTCGGTCCTGGAATCAATTTTTAAAACCCACTTTCGTTTCTGGGTTCTGTTTTTATTTTAAAATCCAATTGTTTAAATCCATTTTCATTTTCAAAATTCATTTTCGTTTTCAAATTCCATTTTCATTTTCAAAATGCATTTTCGTTTTCAAATTCCATTTTCATTTTCAAAATTCCATTTTCGTTTTTAAAATTCATTTTCATTTTTAAAATCCATTTTCGTTTTCAAATTCCATTTTCATTTTCAAAACCATTTTCATTTTCACTTTTTGACCTGTGACCTCGCCCTCTAACCCCATATGACGTGACTAGGAATTGTAACTCTGATTCCGGATTTTTTATTTCCACCGGTAACGATTCTATGGTAAAGCTTATTTACGTAAGTTCTTCTTCTTCAGACTATACCCTATTTGGCCGTGGTTCCATAGGGGGTTCTTATCTTCATCTGTCGGCTTACGCTGTGGTGTCGTATGCCTGTACATACACCGATGGCGCTGCCTTGTATACCGACAGTACCTTATCCGGTACGATAACACAGCAGACCCACAGCTGTAACTTGTTATAATCTGAGTATCAACGTTACAGCTGATAAAACGAGAGCTCCAAAGTTGATTAGAATAAGTTATAGCCGTGGTTTTGCTGCGTTTTGTACCGGTAGGGTATTGTCGGAAAACAAGGCAACGTCGTCGGCGGACAAGCCTGACCACAAATGCATTTGACGTCAAAATGTAAGCCAACCTATGAAGCCAAAAACCCTTTATGAACTAAAATCGCCACGGAACCACGGCTAAAGTTATAGTCTGAAGAATAACTTACGTAAAAAAGCCTTACCATGGAAACGTCGCTGGTGGAAATAAAAAAAAAATCAGGTCAAGTTGAAATGGTATACAAAACACAAATCGAATCGAAATGAGAATCTTAGTAAAAACAATTAAAAACAGTTAAAGTTAAAGCGATAGGCGGGGAACAACAGTGATTTTTATGTAAATTCTGATGGAAAATTTGCTTCAACGTGAAAAATACTTATATACCTATACTTCAAATGTCAACAAAAACATGAGAATGGATTTTAAAAATAAAAACGGATTAGGAAAAACAAAAACGTATTTAAAAAACGATAGATTTTAAAAATGAAAATGGATTTAAAAAAAGAAAATGGATTTTAAAAATGAAAATGGATTTTGAAAACAAAAATGGGTTTTAAAAACAAAAATAGATTTTGAAATCAAATATGAATTTTAAAAACAAAAATGGATTTTAAAAATGAAAATGGATTTTGAAAACGAAAATAGATTTAAAAAAAGAAAATGGATTTTTAAATCAGAAATGAATTTTTGAAAATGAAAAAGGATTTTAAAAAAGGAAAATGGATTTTTAAATCAAAAATGAATTTTGAAAATGAAAAAGGATTTTAAAAATGAAAATGGATTTTGAAAACGAAAATGGATTTTAAAAAAGGAAAATGGATTTTTAAATCAAAAATGGATTTTGAAAATGAAAACGGATTTTGAAAATGAAAACGGATTTAAACAATTGTTCTTTTTAAATGAAAACAGATATTAGAAACAAAAATCGATTTTAGAATCGAAAATGGTTATTAAAAGGGAATTATAAATAAAAATGAATTGTAAAAATAGTTTTATAAAATGCCATGTTGTGAGCCACCTCGGTTGCCGTACAATAGCGACAGTATTCAGTAATTGCCGGGTCACGTGCGTGGATCTTTATCGGTGTCCCTGGCATAGTCATGCGAAGATACATCTGTCAAACAGATTTCAAACACAGCAAAGAGTGTACATTTCCATTGGGTTAATAGTATTGCGTTTTAATAACAACATCACATATTTACTTTAAAAGTATGCATTCATAATATTTCAAATTTACAATAGTCAAATTTAGCTTCTGAAACTGATGTCCCAAACTTACATAAAAAACAAAAACAAAAACGTTTGTGCGTTAACGTATCCTCGGAAAGGAAAAAAATATAGTTCGCATGAGACTTTATATAACGATATACATTATTAAACCATCCTTTGTCTATGTATGCATGTATAGCATGTCACGCGAATGTGGTTGATATTTATTGTCATTCACATCATGCTCTGTAGCTTTTCTCTGTAGCGATTTCTTAAGGCGCGTGGTCGTCGCGCAGCGCGTGTTCGAATTTCATGTAAATAAACAATGTATTTTACACGCGTTGTATACGTCGCTATGAGTTCCATATCGAACAGGATGTGGCGCGACGATTGCCGCCCTTTAAACAATATTTGTGTTTGACAGGTAGCATGGTTTTCTCTTTGTCAGTAACACTGTTTCGTTTTCACCCAAGACCACACTTGTTGTTGTTGTTATTATTCATGCACTGCTCCGTCAAGCCCAATTTATTACTTAATTTAGGAGATCGCAACTACTATTTTTGTAATAAATAACTTATGACTGCACTTGAACAATTTATAGTCCCAATTCACCAGCTAACTACATTCTTGGCATATCGATGTACTTCAAATTTTTTGTGTCGACGATTTATTACCCGCAATTGGGTGGGGGTAGAGACTCCTTGATAAACAAGATAACTTCCCAGGGTGTACACTCATATATTTATTATCAGTAGCATAACCAGGGACTTTGTAATGCATATCAATTTGGTAAACCATATCTGCCACTTGACGGAGAAATTTAGTAGATAAGATACCTTTCTTGGTTAGAAACAGAAACAGATATTTTGAATACATATTACCTGATGTTATGGCAAACTACAATCAATGTACACCACATTGTGAATTATTCGTTCACTGCTTCCATGATATGGTATACCTGACATCAAATTTGTTTGAAAACTATTTACGCTGTCAAGTAAAAAACATATATATATTTAAAACATATTTTGTTCGTTTCATAATAGGATAATATATATATATAACGTTGCAATCAAGTTTAAATGATTTTGTCGTGTCTTTTTCAAAACCAATATAACCCTTACGGGAGTTGTCCAATCTGTCTATCGTACTCTGGGATGGGCACATACTTCAAATGGCTGTGGACTCAAGGTGATGCCCGTCTTCCCTACCAGAGTTGGTGGCGATGTCCCCTCTGGTCGAGTGAAGCTGAACGTCTGCATTAGGCATGCGAAGAACAGAAACAGTTCCATCTTCGCTGTCTGGTCACCTAAGCACATTCGAGCACCTATAATAGTGAAGACATATTTCAAAGATACGCATTATTTTGGCTAAATTATTTGGGCATGTTCACACATTGTGATAACACATCAAGTATACATTACAGAATATGCAACGTCTGACTGCTGTTGACTTTGAAGAATAGTGAGATATTTATAGTTTAGGTAAATAGTGAAGTTCATCACGAACTGTGCAGTAATATACGTTATAATACATGGTTCAAAGATTTCCAGACGGCTTTGTTGACTTTGGCGTTGAATTGTATTTGACTATGTGTCTGTGATCATGTTATCAGCGTCCTTGCCCATGATCTCATGAGAATAATGTCTGTTCTTAAATCAGACAAACACATTTTCAGACAGAGCTTTTTTTATACGAAGTGTTTGAATAAGATGTTTTTAGATATCCCTGTCAATGTCCAATCATTACACAGTGACACAGACTCATAATGAAAAGTTCATAAAAAGTGACAAGTTGAATCAAACCATGGTTGTCACAGATAGTTAAATTGAGTTACTTCGTATTAAAGCAAGTACTTCTAATCAAGAAATGTACTTACCGGTACTAAAGGGAATAAACATCTCCGGTTTTTCAACTTCACCGTTTTCGTTCAAAAATCTCTCTGGTCTGAATTCTTCTGGGTTTTCCCAGTGCTTAGGATCATGCAGGACAGACCAAAGGTTAGCCATGACCATAGTGTCTTTTGGTATGTGGTAGCCGTACAGTTCAGTGTCTTCCATTGCGCAGTGTGGCATGGTCAACGGCAACACACTAGCACTCCTCTGGACTTCCATGATTGTTGCCTCAACGAAGGGCAGCTTTGGCTTGTCATCAATTGTTGGGAGTCTGTCACCGAGGACATCAAACAGTTCTTTCTGAATTCGTTTCTGTATATTCGGGTATGTTATCATGTACAGCAAAGACCAGAGTATCGTGGTTGCTGTTGTTTCAGTGCCCACTGTAAAGAGATCGTTGGCAACTCGTCGAATGTTGTCATAATCAAAAGAAGATGCTTGGCCCTTTTTTTCCCGCATTTCAATCTCTTGTATGTATAGGTCGAGAAAGTCACGTATATCAGTTGGATTGTGCGTTTGTCTGTGCTTCTCTATCATCTCTATCTGACAGGTCCGGAGATAGATGTGGTTCTTCAGGACTCGCTTGAAATTGCCGAATGGCAAGTACTGTAGAATTGGTATGAAGTTGACAGCAGAGGCTGCCCCACACAGTCTCATATTGCGATAATGGATTGTTAAGAGGTTACGGAAGTCTTGGTCATCGTGACGAAATCGTCGACCAAAGATGATTGAAAAGATGATATTGCAGACTGAGTTCCTTACATAGTGAAATGGATCGAATGGTTTGCCTTCAAACTTCTGCACTGCCTCAATTAGTCCGTTGACTTCTCTCATAACTTTAACTTCGAATGCAGATGAACCCCATCCAAAGCTTTTTAGGGCTGATACAGCAAAGTTTCTCTGTTCTCTGTAATTTTCATTATGAGTAGAAAATACAATACCTAAAAGAAAAAATAAGGATAATCGTCGAGTTAACCTTATGTATATAATTATGTATTAAATTATTTGATTTTTCTTGAACCAAAATGCTGATATTTCTTTAATACCATGAACCTTATGTATATAGTTTAAAGTTGTCAAAATTGAAGACACTCCATCCCAGTTTTGGCGATTGTCGATTGTTCTTTCCAAGATTAAATCACGTACAATTTAAGGCATATTATGAATAACGTTCACAGAATTCTCGTCATATTGGACATATATCCAGTATTTACTGAATTCTTAGGGTGACGAAATTGGTCAATAATTTCTATTCTGGAATTGTTTTCTATGTAAACACCCAGCATCTGACACTAGTAGTTCCAGATTGTTTATGTACATGGTTCCACAGTGGCACAAATAATGCACACCAACAAATAAGAGAAGTAAGATTTGCACAATGTGGTTTGATTAACAGGTCAACAACACACTGGATGTACTCTGGCTTGCAGAGGTACATCATTTATGTACAATCAATGCCTCGAATAAATCATGTGACAATTCTACGAAACGTTACCAGGGTCAGTATGCTCCCGTTAAAAGTGTCTTTACCCTCCACATGTGTACAGAAAGGAAAGGTCACCTTCACAGTTGAAGTGTTAAAGATGTAATACGATTACTCGGTACTAGTAAGTTGATGGATTCCACACTTGTACGGTTAAGATTGGCATTTGGCCAATGTTATTTGTTTTTTACAATCAAGGATTCAAATCCACAACGTTGGTGATATAAATAGCATTCTATTAGGGACTGGAAGTATAAGGAGGATGGGAACATTTAAACAAGATCGTCGTAGCCCCTGTGAACAAATTCAAAACATGAATTTAGGCGTGTTTCGTTTTGTTCGATTTCAGATTGCCTAAGCTCTGATAAATTAGATTTTTGATAATTTGAGTTCATTTGTGAGTGAATTTCAAAGATTTTTATTGAGTTAGGATCGGTTACAATACGCGTGTGCACAAATATTTTCAATCCCAACTTTAAAAAAAATATAATACGATACATTTCTGAAACACAACAACCTGTAATTATGCGCTACAGCGATGACACACTGAAAATATACCTTTGTGCGTTACCTGAGATGGCTAATGAATGGGGAGTATTTTTAGCCTGTTTGTGCGTGTCTACAATTACCAAACACTGCATCGTACCGCCTCGCTGAATCTTGCATTTAGGTCAAGGATCTTTCCTCAATGTTGGCGATCAGGGGCCGCCTCGGAACTTGTGATTTGTGATTGCAAGTTCGACCGTGAGATGACCTACTGAAAACGTGTCTTTGTGCGTTATGTAGACAGTTCTTGCAGACCGTCTGAGATTGCTATTGAAAGTGAATTATTTTTAGCATGTCTATGTTTACAATTGTTAAACTCTGCAACGTACATTTACACATCACTGACTCTTGCATTTGGGTCAAGGATCTTTCAAAAATGATTTTTTGCATTTGGTGATCGTCTAGAAATTGTCTCGCACTTAAACTTACTCCAATCGCGCTCAATATGAAAAAGAAAGTTACACGCATTGTATTGGAACGGTGCGGTTTCATATTGATAGTAGAAAAACACTTTTACATCCACCAAATTTGTTTTCCAGGTTAAACACGTTAATACACCGACTGGTCGCGAATAAGCCCATATCTCGATAATTATGTTCATTCAAATGTTCACATTCAATTTAATAGCAAGTACAAAACACGCAAAATAGAATCAACTAGACAAAAATAACACGAGAAACATCCGTTTGTTCGCCAGGTACTTGTAATAGGCGCTAGGTAAGTTCTACAAACGGAATGAAGCTCCTTTTCGTACAATGAGCTCAATAACATGTATACTAGTGGGTTCATCACATCGAAGCTCGTGAAGTTGTAGTCCCATGTTCAAATATAAAAAAAAAAACATGTGCTCAAGCACAACTTAAAAAAAAACGAAATTCGTTATCTGCACCAACAATCTAAACCGAGTACCTCAACTTAAATTATGGTTTGTCCCATACACGATGTGGGTTTGTGCATAAGTTTAAAGGCTTAAATGACAAACTTATATAAAATATTTTTTCTGGCAATTTCCCATAGAAAATATATCACACACAATCCCAGGATTTACTAAAAACAAAAGCAAAACATTCTACAAGTGAACACTAAGGGAATCTTTACCTCTACCGCCTGCAATCAAATCGGAAAGCACCATTCTCGGTCTACCCTTGAAAGTATCACACTTTGTGATAAATGCCTCTTTAATCGCGTCATAGCCGTGTAAGACCACTACATCGCGGGTCCCCATCCGCAGCATGAACACGCCGCCGTACTTGTTTCCCAGGTCGGTCATACTCTTGTACGGAGCTGCCTTGTCCAGCAACGGGATGCAACCGACGACGGGGAACCCCATCGGCCCCGGTGGAAGCATGTACCGCTTGTGCCTATGTTTGTAAACAACGAACGCCAGCAGAGACAGCACTGCTGCGACGAGTATCTGAGTGACTGAAAACAATGACATGTGTGCTGTTGTGATCATCTTGACCGTAAGGCTTTGGCTGTAGTTCTGAGGTTTTCCCGGTGTATACAATGCCTTTATATAGTTTGTTTACACCCACAATTAATCGTATGCCGGTCATATAGCAAACCACGTGGTAGCAGAACGTACCATGCAAAAATAGATACTCGTTACCTTAGTTACCCAGGTAAAAGCTGGCGTCAGGCCAAGTAGTCAACAGGTCATATCAAAGTTTTGGAATAGCGACAAACCATTAAACAATTTTTTCACACTTAAATATTTTTATTATTTTATTCTTTTATTTTTTTTAGATCTGTGCTCTACATAATGAACCATGCCTCGCATATTCGATGTGTGAACAATGCCGTAAGTGAGGGCGTCTGTTGTGATGACTTTCAAATTTATTATCGTGCATGTGTCACGGTTACCGGGACCTTCAGACCGCAATCTGTGTTTAGATGTCATCGATCGTCACTCTGTGCGTTTAAACACCTTTGTACAGAGTTATTCGCCGGTGAGACAATGAATATGCGTTTTTTTAAGTTTCTTAAAACTATTGCTCCGAAACTCAGACTAATAATAGTCTGAATCCGAAGGTGTTTTAAAACGCCGCAGTCTACACACAGTGCGCCTTCGGGTTTATGCGCAAACAAACAATACATAACACGCGTTTTATCCGTCGCGTGGGACTCATGATGATCACGACGCGTGGCGACGACGGCGGCTCTTTAACACAAGTTTTGTTTCAGTAAAAAAAAACAAACACAGGATTTGTGGGTTCATTTCATGACTTTGGTTTTATTTATATAACCCAATTTTTAGTGTTACTCTGTGTTTCTGACCGTGTTCTTGGTTCGGGTCATCATGTAAATGAGACATGTCCCTTTAAACAGTACTATAAATGTGAACTCTGAAATTCCACCCTTTTTTGAATTTTATATTAAGTACTAGTATTACATTGCAGTGGCAAAATCACGTGTACTGTGTGTATATTACTTAATACTGACAATCATGTCAATGAATTTACCGGAAAGAGGGTATGTGCTGACTTCAACGAAAGTGATAAAACACCGAGAGTGTTCGTACGAGTGAGAGACAAACGCTGTGTTTAAGTTGTTGGACACATTGCATGTTTATTATGTATGTTATAAACAAAATTGTATGTTTGAAATTTGCTATAAATCGTTATTAAGTGTTTGGGTCGGAAAACAGGAAAAAAAAGTAAGAGAATATGCGCGCAATCAGCTTTCTGTCGCTAAAACTGTTCAATTTGAGACAGTGTTACTGTTTTTTAAATATCGCTAGATCTGAATGATTTGTTACGCTTGTATGGTATTTTAAAACCACTTCACTCGCATATTTTGAATTCTTCGATTATCGCTATTACGTTTGTTTTGGGTGACCCGAGACGAGTTGATAGATACGGGCCGCATACCTGCTTTACTCGAGTGAGATTCGCATGTTTACAGTGGATAAACATGTATTGCATTTTCAAACACGGAGAAACGCAAAGAAAGGTATATATTATAGCATAGGATCTTTCGAGTACTATCAGGATCTAGGTCGGTTTAAAGTTTTGGTATGAAACGTTAACTATTGGGTAGGCCAACTTTAAGTATAGAGGTAATGTATGTAATGAAAAAACGAGTCATGAATATGAATATGATTGTTTTCTGAAAAACAACACCTGGATACGGTTTATCTTTAAAAAAGCGGCATTTGTATGGCGCACTGGGGACAGGGACAGCACATGACAAAATGTGTAACGACTGAACGCCTTATTGCCGACCTTAATGTCGTGAGACCGGCAATTATGTCATATTTTTAACTGCTGAATGGGCGAGCTGACCTCTGAAGTCGAACTCACAATCTCTCTGACATATAATAATTCTATAAACAGCACCTTCCAGGGGTGCGATGCGATCAGTACCTGATAACTAAGGCATGGGGCCAGTAAGTACCATCTCCGGGCTTCGATCGATGGAAGTTAATCAGTGATATATCAGTTTGATTATGATAGTGCAATGACCTACAGAACTTTAATATACATTCATACAACCCCCCCCCCCCACTCAGCATCCATAGCGGGCCGCATGCGCGTTCCCATTTTCTCGGGAAAGGGGGTACTTTTTGACGATCTGTCTCGGGAATATTTTCCCGAGAAAATCGTAGAAAAGGGGGTATTTTTTGTTTGTTTTCCCGAGATTCTCAAAATAGGGGGTGTATGTATGAATGAATGCATGATGCATATTGTAGTGCATATGCCGTAGCAATGTTTGTGTAAGGAATTACCTCTTATCAAATAGAGGCGGCGGCACTAAATTTTGCATGGGGCGAAGACTGGTGATTTTCCGTACAATTGCGAGATCTCGCGAGATGCATGAAAGACGCGCGTCGAACGTCTGCCGCAAAAATCGAACGATTTGATTTTGAACTAGAATTTCTTTATTTCGTAGCTTACATTGACCGGCCGATCTTCGACAGAGAAATATTGCTTCCGAATACCCTTACTTAATCGAAATTGCCTATCACCAAATGTGGACAGCACATTATTAAGCATGGAAATGCCCCCCGAAATACTTTCGCGTTTGTCGAATCCCGCGCGATGTTTGACGCGACTACGACGCTATAACCTTTGTTTGTCCTGTTTTTACGTTCGCTTTCACGCATAACGCGTGATTCTCGCAGTGAACGGAAAATGGTCTATTTTGCGCCGAAGGCGTGACTTTACCAGAGGATCAGGGGGTATGCTCCCCCTTGAAAATTTGAAATGTAGACTCTCTGAAACGCTATTTCCTGCATTTTGAAAGTCAAATTTTGCTTGCACAAAAGGATCAGCTTGATTTTAGAGGGGGTTACGCCTCCAACATTATTTTCGAGGGGGCAATCGCCCCCTCTGCTACCCCGTGCCACCACCACTGTCAAAGGAAAACGTTCGGCAACAATGATACATTGTAGTGTAAATTGTTAATAGAATTTCAAGTGAATCAGGGATAAATATCTGTAATGGGCAAGCGCCGCTGTTTTGACCCAATTTCCACGGCCGAATAGATATATTTATCCATTTTCATAATTTTAGACCATTTAAGCAAAACAATTTTGTCAAAAGCGTCCAGTTTTTAACAGACTGTGGATCACCCCACTCAAAATCGCTATCGTAGGTAAAACAATGACATAATAATAATAAGAGTGGAAAGATAAAAAGATTGGGCACTTTGTACCATGGAATAATATGCAGTGTAGTATCCAACAAGGATGTCGGTTTTTACAAGCGCGCCATCTATAGACGACTAGAGTGCAGCTTGGTGGCGCTATTCAAAATGGCGTCTTACATAACGTATAATTTCTGCTTGACAAGCATTTTTGGCATTTTCTAGAACGATTGCAGTTCATTGATCATTTCAGTGAAGTATTCTGATAAAGGTGAGTAAATGATGGATTCATTCTGAGGTTTTAACACTTCATAACTTAGTAAATATGGTGGATCTAAGCGAATTTTGCACCGGTCAATGTCTGCTTACGTGTGTATAATTTTTTTTTATCCACATACATGTCCAGAGAGAGGAACGTCGCCTGTACATGTATGCCGTGTCTGGTTTTCAGGTGTGTGCATCCAATGTCTAGCGAGCCAGCGAGGTGTCCCACCAGTTTATTGATTTATTAAACCACAGAACTGTTGTAACTATAGATCGTCGAAGCCTGTGAACTGTGGTTATCGAGTTATTATTTTGCGCGTGAATCGAGCGGGTAGTTAAACGTTTGGCACGGATCTAGAAGCCGTACCTACACACGAATTGGTGACGTCACAAAATACATGACCTTCAATCGGCGGCGTTTCGTCGGTATATACGAATTGGTATATACAAATTACAATAAAGATACTTAAGACATTACACATAAGGTAAAACAAATCACGTGACAATATAATGATAATAACGGTAATAAATCCTAGCTTAACAGTTGAACAGAACGCTCATATAGTCAGTCGGGTGACGCCGAGGGTCACACACTTTGTGGCAAAATGGCCGTGTGGTTGAAACTGGGTCATGGATTGACGGGTTAGGAAGACATCATTAAACTCTCTCAAAATCACAATAAAACAGGAAAGTGGTTGCATATTACGGCGTAGCCAACATGGGAAATAAAAAACGCCCAATACAAACGACATGGGTTCGAATCACAC